CACCTTTAGCCCCATCCTCGACCTCGTGCCTCGCCGCACACGTACCGCCGCCCACAGAGACACCCCTGCGATGTATCTACACGCGCATACTTGGAGAGGGTAGATAACGTCTTGCACGTACCGTACGTACGTACGTACGTAGGCGTAGGTAAAGGTGCGCCGTTGTGTAAAGGTGCAGTGACTAACGTGTGCCACACTTACACTTACACACGTATCTCGAAAAGGCAGATATGGTGTGTTCACGCGCACGGTGTATACGATACACGGAGGAGAAGAGATACGAAGACGCGAAAGTGTGCAATATAACCGACATCCACCCGCGTGCAAACCCTGTAACGCGAGCGAGCTGCCTATCTGGCTAACTATCGCTGATTCTTGGCGCGAGACGGGCCCCACGCGGGGGAGAGGTGAGGGGAAAATAGGCGGAAGGGGTGGTCTCTCCGTGTCGTCGTGGATCGTTTAAAACGGAACCTGCCACGGGAAGAAGCCCGTTTGGCGCATCCGTGAAATATTTTTCCGCCTAGAAGGAGATTGGATTAATTTTTCTTTTCTTTTTTATGACAAATTTCATTCTTCGAATTCGGACCGATTTTCGAAGAATTTATTTTTAGAAAGTTTTGAAGGGAAAGTGTGATAACGGTGCGATAATTGGCTTCGAAATCGCTTCGAAAACGATCCAACCCCTTCGTTCGAATAGTTGAAATACTTGGATATACCTGCTCGCGTGTTCTTCTTCATCGAGCTCTTGCAACGTTTCGCCATTGCCTTTAGAATTTCGCGATAGAAGATTTATTCTGTAGCGAGGAGAATTTTAAATTTCTTCTAAAAGAGACGGATTTTTGGAGCGACGATGATCCATTTATTTTAAAATATTCGAGACGAAATCGAGAGATCGCGTATTGATACACGAGAAAGACGATGTTGGACAAATTCGTAACGCGGAGTAAAAGGCGGAGAGGAAGGTCGAGAAGCACAAGAGAAGCTAGAGCTTAACGTCCGGTAAGGCCCAGGACGTGCACGGGGCCTCCTCAAATATTAGCGGAGGACCGCGGGGTCCCCTTTGAACTCGAATCCCTTAAAAATTTCTATGGCGAATAATCGGAGACAGCTGGCACGATGCGAAATCAAGTAGCGTAATAATGCTTCAGCATCCAGAGCGGGGGAAAAATAAAATGAAGAAGAAAGAGGAGGAGGAAAATGCATGGGTTCCCTTGGATTCGAGTATCTTCACCCCGTCTTACATCCATCTCCTCTTATTTCAAATATTTACGAAGCGAAAATATTATCGGCTGTAATTCGTTTCCTCGTTCTCTTCCCTCCTCTCCACCCCTAATATGAATTTTCATTCTTAAAAAAAGCTGGCCGAGGAAGGAAGGTTGAAAAAAACAAGTCAATTAGAAGAGCGATATCCCCGCCATTGATTTACGAGCGATTTATTTTATAATTCAAATGAAACTCGTACGATTTCCTCTTTCCGATCTTTCATTGGCCGTTAATTAACGAGCCGATCTCTGCGGTGTCACGAGAAATTTTCGCCTCGTTTATCTCTGTCAATAAAACAACGACGTTTAACGATTAAAAGGGATCGCGGGATGGAAGCGGGATCGGCTAATAAAATGATATCTCTGTATTCGGGAGAGATACGTGGCCACATCTCAGCGGTCTGATCGACAATTAACGGCCGATGTATAGCCACGTTTCAGCAACGGCCATTCGCGAATAAATGACACACACCACGCGAGTGATAGGTATGCTAATCGCGCGGCCCGCTGTAAAATTTGCTCGTCAGCTGCGCCGCTGTTACCATCGCCAGCTAAATTTCACGCGAACGAGACGAAATTCCCTCGCTCCTTTCTGTCAAATTTCACCATCGATCGATCGATTCCGATCCCGATTCCGATTAGAAAGCAAAGCTGTAACGGAAACGCGATTTTCATCCCTCCCTCTCTCCTTCTTTTCGTCCCTTGGCGCGACAAAAAGAAAAGAAAAAAGAATATTCGCGCGTGAAAAAAGACACGTCCTGTATCGTCCCTCGGTTGAAAGAAAAGTTAAAGAGAAGGAGGAAGGAGGAGAAAGAAGAAGAAGAAGAAGAAGAAGAAGTGACGGAAGCGGACTGGTATCGGGCAGTTTATCCCGCGGGAGGAGCTACGATACAATGAATAAAGAACGAAGCAGCTTGGTCGAGTGAGCCATGTGAACGAGGCCTTATTGGGATATTAATCGTCGTACCAGGCGAACGCCCTGTCCCCGAGTGTTTGCACGAGGTTTGAAGAGGCTGCAACACCAAAGCTGCCTTGCAGCGAAACCCTCTCCGTAAAACCCCCTCCTTTTTAAGCGCAACGAAACACTACAAGACCCCTTCTCCGAGCCCCTCCAACGTGTTCCTCTTTTCGAGCCGTGATACTCGAAAAGCCTAAGTACTACCACGCTCGAATACTGCTCGGATACTTCGGACACACTCGAACCCCGGAGCCACTTAGGTAAAAGGTTGCGTACACGTTATAGGTAGGTAGGTAGGTAGGTGGGTATATAAGTTGGTAGGCTTGATAGGCGCGTTGCACGAATGCTTCGAAATAATGGGCCGTCGATCGGTACCGCTTGTTTAGAAAACATAAACCGGGCGAGCTAATTGTTCGCTAATTTCCAGTGCCACTTGTACGGCCGCTCGCCGATTAATGCGTCACGATACGCGAATAGGGTGTTTTCTTTCTACGAGAGTTGTTGGCCGGCCTCGTCGTCCCGTCGTTTTCGAAAGGGATATTTACATATGTCGTTTTTCTCCACCGTAATGTAATTGTGTTACATGTTGCGAGACGCGTGGAAAACGGAATAAAACGTTCGAGAAACGGCCTTTGATCTCCGACCGCGCTCCACTAAGCGTTCCGACGCTTATTTTCTCGAACGGGAATCGTTCGAATGGAAATGGACGCGTTAAAGTGGATTTTCGTCCATTTTTGAATATTTCGATTGATTTTCATCGGTGATATTCTCTGGTTATACTCCAGTGGATGTTTACGTATATCGTTGCACGATTTTTCTTTTTTTTTCTTTTTTTTTTTTTTTTTAGTAATCCGTTGCAATAGATTTCGAACGTGACGTTTCCAAGAGAAACATTTTCTGTAATGGGATACGTGGTTATCGTATTTATTTGAGAACACGCTCAAACGCGTTTAATCCATTTATTTATCAAACAGGATGGAACAGATCTTTGATCCAATTACAAAATCTGGCTAATTGCGCCGAGTCATTCGATTCGTAATCCGTTCCCCATTTATCATTAATCTTGTATTCGTATATACCCAGACAAAATCCGAATGCGCTTCTAATTCTGCTAATTTCAAAGATGACGATGAAATATCGGATACTAGTGGTGATACTCGTTTGGAGCAATTTTGCGAAAATAAAAAATAAAATGATGTACTTACGGAATACGTGAAAATTGAGCGGCGGCTCCGTGATCTGAACACCGCGATCCGCTTCTTCGATAATCCTGAACACTTTCACCAAGCTCCGGACTCCAAAAAGCGCAAAGTTGAAACTTCGTGACGAAGTTGCGACATCAATTTCGATTCTACTTGATCTTGCAGTTCGTTGGTCTAACGCGGGATTCCAGGAACAATTTCATTTGGGTCACCAATTCAAAGAGGCATGGATGCTCACGATGATACGCGACGGCCATCGACAGGTCGGTATCTACCAGCAGAAAGTCTCTCAGATTGGTCGTCGACATTATCGAGACGATCGCACGATCGATCGATCCTTCCGTTTCTATTCTCGATCGCGTTCCATCGTCGAGGGGGGACGATTGTCACGATTGTCATTGTCAACGAATTGATACTTCCCGTTCCCCCGTTGGATTCATCACGTCGACTTCAAACGTCCAACTTCTCCAAAAAATTGTATACTCTCGGTGATTACAACAACGGTGATTTAGATTCCAGGCAATAAATAACAACTTGAATTCTTTTTCATTTCGACGGACGACAGATTCGAAGTTTCTCAAAGTAATCAAATCCCCGAAACGTCGGCCATCTCGATTGATATCTCGGTCGAATCTATTCTATTCGATTGCCAAACCGTTCTTCCTCGAAATCAACCACTGTCTTCCATATTCGCGCGCATCTTGGCGAAGCTTTCCCGACGAAACGACACTGTCAATGACGGATTACACGGATTACAAAGGCTCGCGTGTTCGGCGACCGGATGTCGGTCTCACCATCCGTCCGGATAATCTCATAGCGGCGAATAAAATCACACGACGAGAAATCACACGACGAGTCGCTTCCCTGGAGAAAATTTTGTCTCGCGATGGAAACGTTGATCGGGGTGATCCCTGGCAGATGATCGACGGAGATCGCGAACGATCCGTTGGCCGTTGGAGCCGCCGAGTTTGCCGCTGCTGACGTGTGTGCGGTGGCTGCTGGCGAAACCCAACCAAGGTTTCAGCTGCAGACGGAAGGGTGAAGGGAGGTCATGGAGTTGAAGGTAACAGCAACCACCAATGGGGCGGTGCCAGGGGCGGAGCAAAGAGCAACCTAAAAACACGCCCATCTCGTTGCACGATCGTAGGCTGCAACACCCCAAGGAATGCTCCATCCCTGTCACGCTCTGTCCCCCAGCTATCGTTCGTCTTTTCCTCTCTGGCTACCTTTTTCTCTCCCCTCCCAATCTTTTTTTTCTTTTCCATTTTCTCTCTCTTTTTTCCTCCCTTTTTTTCTTCTTCTTCTTCTTCCTCCTCCTCCTCCTCCTCCTCTTCTTCTTCTCATTCAATTGGGACGGAGGCGACACGAAGCGCGACGACGTTAAAAGTGCAGGCGGAACGACCACGAGCCTCGACGTTCGACACTCTCTTCATCGATCTCTCTCTCTCTCTCTCTCTCTCTTTCCTGGTCAAACCTTGCCAGGGGATTACGATCCATCGTTTTCCCATCGGAGGGACGAGGACGAGGAATCGCGGTCGTGGAACGGGAAGCGTTAATGGCTCGATTACGCGTCTATGATCTCGCCTCGTCTACGATAAGGGATGATGATGATTGAAAGAAGGGAGTGGACGAGTTTTGCAATTTTATTTCGCTCTTGTTCGTCGGTCATTCGAATTTCGAGGAGTTCTGTGGGGTGTTGAGTGAATGGAATTTTTGAATTTTTTCCGCGTCCGAGGAAACCATCCCTCAAGACCCGAGTATCGGGACTACGCGTTAACTATATTCGGGCGAATGGTGCGCGTGCTTATTAAAAAAATATTTGCTTAGAAATATCCGGGGAAAGGTGAAAGCTGGCGGTGAAATGCATTGAAAAGATTCCTGTGACGGTGTACGGAAGGGTGAGTTGTATCGAGCCTCCACGCCGACGAGGTTCGGAAGAGAAAGGAGATGGAACGAAGAGAGAAAGAGAGAGAGAAAGAGAGAGAGAGGGCTTGGATCGAGGGGTCGACGAATGAGGCAGCGAATGAATACCGAGTATGGATTCGTGAGGAGCCAATAGGGGTGCGCGATGTCCTCCCTCGTTCGAGGGAAGCCACGCCAATCGTGGGCGTCCGTCACCCTCCGGGCTTTTCCAGCGAGGGGTGGCGATGGTAGAGACGCACAGCTCGCTTCGAGGGCTTTACCTGGGCCGGCTGATAAAGACAGACAAACCTCTGTCTTCTGTGGCGGATCATGCCAGCTTTGCCAGGCAGACGACCTCGTAGCAACCACACCTCCACCTTTGCATCCACTTTCATTCACTTACAACCACTTTCTACTGACGCCAATGCTCCGACGCCTTTTCTTAGATTACGCGCCTGTTTCCTACCCTCTCTTCCACATCCACCGTGATTAACGGATTATGAAACTCGCCGCTGGTATAGAGAAGAGGGTGGAGAAAGAAAAAAAAAAAAAGGAAAAAAAAAGGAACGGCAAAAATGGAAAAGTATTTTCCTCGCATATTTTTCCAGCAATGTTTTTTCCTTTTCTTTTCTTTTTTTTTTTTTTCTTTTTTTTTTTTTTTTTTTTTTTTTTTGCTACACATTAAATACGCGGATTTTAAATACGCGGTGGTGGTGGAGAATAAAGGGAGGAATTTAATTAATTGGTTAATTTGATGGAGCGTAGTAGCATATCCTAAAGAGGGAGAGGGGTGAGAGTATTAACTCCTGGAAGGAATCTCGTCATCGTATGGAGAGATATTTACGAATCTTATATCGAACGAGATTTTATAGGAACGAGGCTGAACACGCGCGAGGTATATACGTATATAAAAGCTTAATTCGTTGTTTGGTTGGCGACGAGTTTGGCGGTGGCACACGTGGCGTGTCATGCGACGAGCGTGGCCGAATGCAGTGTATGCAGTGTCATACGCAACCACTCGAAAAAAACAAAGGAAAATTTATATTCCCGCGATATCGACGCCAGTGGTAGTTTTCCATTCTCGTCGAGAGATCGTGGAGAGAGATCGGTCGACGATACTCGTAGACGCGCGTGTACACGCGTATAATACAAGTGAATATTATTACACGTCGAAAGGAAGTGAAAAATTTTCCAGAACGGAAGTAGAGATCGTTCTTCCGCGATCTTCCCTGATGAATAACGATCAATTTCGATCTCTCGCTTATATTTATATATATATATATATATACACACTTTT